AGGACTATGTCGTCTGCGTATTCTAAGTCTATAAGACTATTCCCTGGTAACAAGTCGTTAAGTTCAGTTACGTCTGCACTCCTTGCTCGCTATTCCGTCTTATATATATATATATATATATATATATATATTGAAAACACACTACCTAGTTCTATTGCGACACGTATTATGGCAATAGGACATAAAGTTGATGTTTACACCTCTTTTAAACCTATCTGTAGCATGTGTTTAGGGCGTATCCTAAAGACTGTGGAAGCCCTAGTAATTAGAAAGTTAAAATCACCCTTATGAGTTCAAAAACAGTTCGTCATACACTAAACCTTCCCTGGTAAACTTTGTTTTGATAACAGGGCAGATGTTCGGTTACCATCCTTTTTTGGGTAATTGATCTCTGTCGTTATTTGACCTTCACGATTAACTTATAACTTGACCTATGTTTATTCTCTCTCCCCGTAACACTTCATTATTTTCATATATATATATATATATATTCCTATGTCAAGCTCGTGTATGATCAGCCTGTTCGAGATGTGTTGCGCAAATACACATTGCACAATTCAGATAAATTACGTCTCCTTATTGTTTTGTTTGTAATCCATTTATTTAATTTTAGAAATGTTTTTGACTAGATATTTTCAAGAGTTGGTTTGTAAGGATTAGATTTATTTTTTCCTAGTTTGACCACGGGTTCATATCAGTTAGAGAACCATTGAAAACCAGGAAGTGCTGGGCAGCTGTTTCATCCTGGTTTGGGGATCGTCGGTAGTACGCACGCACTGCCAGGGTTCAAACCCAGGACTTTCCGGTTAAAAGAGACACTCGTATACCATTCAGCCACTGGGACCCGATTCAATGGCCAGTCCATGAATTCTAACCTCTGCCAATTCGTGATTTAACGCGACCACCAGTTAATGTCATTGGTGGGACATTCATCCTCACACTTGACATTTGGATGGACCTCATTGGTCACGATTTCTCACTAGAACTCCAGGAAACTCCGTTGTGTAGCAAGTCACTAGAGAGCATCAGATTAATTTTCAAGAGTTGATTTGTAAGGATTAAATTTGCTTTGCCTTGTAACCGGAAGGTCCTGGGTTCAAATCCTGGCAGTGGGTGAGTACTGATGATGATTCCCAAACTAAGATGAAACAACTGTCCAGTAATCCCGGGTTTTCAATGGTTCTCTAACTAACTAGGTATTGTTAAGAAACTTACCACTACCACTAGATTGGTATAACTCTGTACATCCAGTGGAGTTGTAGTACCATAGATGAAGACGTGATTGGGAAGAAACTGTTTCCTTCGTTCAATCCTTATTGTCTTTGAAATGAAGACATATGTGAAGAACACGTTGTTTTGCCGTAATCTTACTTTCCCGTTTTGCATTACTGACTCTATCAGTTGTCTGTTTATTGTCAATCATCAGTGCATCCTACATGCTAACTAGATTGTCACTACATAGTTTTTTCTCAGCCTTGTCTTCTAAATCCTCCTCCTAAGTAAACACACTAACACTTAATCACTCTTGTTGTTATGTTTTCTATTTCTGACAGCATATTCACAGGCCAGCCATCTAGACAATGCCTCGGGCATATTCATGTCTAATTGTCTCTGGTATATTTCATTGGAGTTAAATTTCAGTTCTCTCATTCCTTCCTTCCTTTTTTCTCAGGTTACTGCAGTTCATCAATATGTTTGTCTTTTTTTTCGAATTTCTCACTCATCTGCTTGTTATTGCCAAACTGAAAGATCAAGGTAACTAGACTAGCCAACTCTTCTTGCATCCATCAGTTGAACAACTCATGTGAAGCTAGTTATACTGGCTGTTTCTCTAGGGAATTAGTTTTCCGTGCTTCGAATACATCTATCAGTATGGCTGAATAAAGATGTAGTAAGAACAAACAATCAATAGTTATATATATATATATATATATATATATATATAATTGAATACTAGTCAGTAACTAGTGTAATGTATCTAGTCCGATCTTTGGTGCAGACTGAATTCTGTCAATCAAGTTTGGAATGCAGCCACCATTCTAGGTGGCTCGCTATCACAGTGCACTTTCAATTGTTGATAGTAGATGGTTGGAGGCAGTTGGCAGGAAGCCCTGCTGGGACCTAGGTTTCGTGCTAGTTGGCACTCAACAACAACAGCAGGCACTCAACAGTCAGCAAGGCGTATCTGTAACTTTGAAGGAACTCATGTTCCTTCTGAGATTCGAAGCCGCGTCACCCAGTACTGCAGTCAGAGACGTTACCACTGAGCTATTCAGTCTCGCGATTGACCTCCTGTAGGACCATATAGGATTGATTGAATTTTAGTTAATAACTAGTGTAATATGTCTAGTCCTTTATCTGGTGCAGACTGAATTCTATCAGTCTAGTGATGCGGGTTTAAATCTCAGAAGGGACATGAGTTCCTTCAAGGTTGCAGTTACGCCTTGCTGACTGTTGAATGCCAACACCAGCAGGAAACCTAGGTCAGGCAAGGCTTCCTGCCGACTGCCCCCAACCGTCTAATATCACCTGGTTCTTCACACAGGATATAAAACGCCAGTTTTACAGTATCTTATTTTATCACCTATCGAGTGAGGAACAAATTGCCAATTCGCATTTCACTTAAAACTATCGGGCCTCTGTGTGAATGAATATATTTATATATAAAAGCAAAGCCATAGAAGAGGATCTAATTGAAATGTAAATATTCTTTTCTTCTAAATGCGGATTGATTTTCCTTTATCTTATGGTTAACCGGTTAGCGATAACTAATGAATTTCAATCATACACTTATTCTCCATCTTATGAATTTAAATCAAACAAGAACAACAGTGTCTTGTGCAGAATAAGATGGTACCATCATTATTTATTTCGTTGGCTTCTCATCGACTATCCTGTTAACTGGATGTCTGTACTTTCCCTTTCTCATTTGACTATGTAATCTTTAACCTTGAGTTCTCCCTCCTTTGATATACTGTAACTTTGCTTGTCTCTTGTTTCTATGAATCCAGTTGGACTCATCACACTGTTACTCAATTTATTAGTTACTCATAATCTTATTCACCGCTTGTCTTTATTGCGTAACTCCTTTGCCGCTGTGTTCAAGGCTTTATTTTTTGTTTAAACTTGATATTTCTAGGTATAAACTATACAAGTGTAAATTTTAGGCACTGTTTATTGAGTTTGACTGACTAACTGCTTTCAACATAGAACGTTGCACCGATGTGCAGTAGTTCCAGTTGCCACACTCCACTCCATGTAGCACACAAAGCAACAGAAGAGAGTAAAGACAGATTCAAAAGAGAGATAATCAACAGAAGTGTAAGGGAAGAACAATAGAGCTTCATTGGATATAAAAATTCCAAAGAGTTAATGCATCTGCGCTATTCACAACGAGGATTTTTAGCAATATCACCAATTGTCTCCAGCTTTCATTGCCTCTTACTATCTCGAAGACTCCAACCAGTCAGTCTACACCTGCCTACGTAGCTGGTTAGCTTAAAGTAACTATTATGTATTTGATTGACTTATAAAGCCATGTTTTGGTTTGACTACCACTAGCTGTCTCTTTTCCAACCTCATCGATCCTTTGTCAGTCAGTTAACATTGCCAGTTGTCGAGGAAGGCGATGGCTAGGGATACACGCGTAACACATGTTCTAACTATCTCAATCGATGCAGCTGCTTCACAACCTTGTCGATTGATTTTTCCTCTTCACCTAACACTTGACGCCTACACAACTCAATATTACTCACCATATTATACCACCTAACACAGGAGATACAACGCAGACACTTATGACCAAAGACAGCTAACCGGGCTTTCCATGTCTTCCATTTTCAATGGCCATGTCTAACAGTTAGCCATAAAGGAGGATGGAGAGAACTGCGGCTAAACAGTACACACGTCCTTCGATCGACAGCCAGCCGGATATCACGTCTACTAAGCCAGAGATGGCGTAAGTTTTCAGGCATATGCCAAACGAATCTCATGTATCCGTGCTCAGATTTCGTCAGCAATCAACCCACTGCGCTGGCTGATGCAAATTTCCAAATAAGTTAGGTGGTCGAAACGCTCCGCCAACCACTGCACTCCTGTCTATCTTAAAGTTAGGGGTGAGTCGATATAGTTCAGTCCAGTCGTGTAGCCTCATCCTACATTTGACAGGAGCAGGTGAATTGCATGCCAAACACCAGAAGATTCCTGCTCAGCTGAAGGTGTTCAAAAGACTCTGCTGTATTTTGTTAGCGTCTTCACCCAGGAGGGAGGACTATATCACCTGCATATTCTAACTCAACGAGATTATCCCCTGGTAAAAAGTCAATCTCAGCCTCCTATCAACTGACATCATGTAAAATTGTTCTGTCCATAGAATTAATTAATTTCTTTTTAAACTATGCACGCAGCTGATGAGAAGCCGACGAAATAAACAATGATGATGATACCATTTTATTCAGCACAAAACATCTCATTGTTCTTCGCTTTATTCTAAATAAGTTTCCGTTACGTCACTAGGGGATAGATACCTTTAGATAATTTATGTGATAAATAAACTTTTTATAGTTATCCCATTTAACTTTTATATTTATACATTTTTTAGAAGCATATTCTCTGAGGGAAAACACGCACACACACCAAGAGTTAAACACCAACAAATGATTTTCTCACGTAACAGTCAACTGCATGAAGTAATGATTTTCTTATTTGATCTTGTATGGCGTGTCAGAACCCATTTATTATTTCATTCATATGAAGCATTCGTTTTATTAAGAATTCATCGACGTTGAAGAATTTTGAAGAAATAATGAATAATAAGACAGATAAACAAATAAACAAACCAGCAAAATGTATGTATATATATAAATGTATATGTGATTTAGGTATAAACATATGAAAATTGTGTACATATAGACAGTATCTTTGTGTTTACATATATATAAAATAAATAATTTTTGAATGATATATATATACTCTTATAATAATATAATGCGTTTTGAATAAAAAATAATCATACGAGATTAGCTAGCAAGTTATGATTTAACTGAAGTTTTATATAATTGAGCATGTATATATTCATTCAATTGGGAACAGTTAGGAAATTTCGATATGTCAAGAGCAGCAGAAGCGGCAGCAGCTGTGGATGCCGGTTGTGGGTGGGGGCAAGGTGAAAGTGACAACGATGAAGAAGGGTTCTTCTTCTCCTTCTTTTCAAATAAATTCGGTGGATTAAAGCTGTTTAATTCATTTTCATTTCCTGGTAATGCTCTATAAATATCAATTAAATAATGTGGTAGATAAACGGTGGCGGCAGCGGCAGTGGTGGCGTCCGGGTCGTTGTCTTCTTTTTCTTGGCGATTTGAATGTCTTTTAGCCTTTTCAGGGGAAGGTTTTTTCACATCAGGTTCATCTGTGGAAGAATGTGAACGTTGGATGCTTGTTGCTGATATTCTACGCTTATTTGTTACTCCAGGTTTTGAAGCGCTGTTAACAAGTTCCTGCTTTGCAGATGTGTTGTTTTCCGATGTAATTGATTTATCTAAAGATGTCTGAGTATTTTCATTTCCTCCTCCTCCTTTGGATGTTGATTTTAACCAATGAAGTGGACTTAGAAAAGTTAGACGTTTCAATAATCCAACAATAGGACTTTCTGTTACTTTTCTGGGTATCGGTTCATCGCTATCTGATATTTCTCTAAAAGAGGAAAAGAAAAATGATCACTTTTAAAGGATACGTAAATATTGATTATGCTTAGGTCATCTTTTATTTTCCTGATTGCAGTAGATTGGATAATGCGACAGACAGAGGCGGGCAATGAGGAAACAGGCATAAAATGGACTCACACAAAAAGAGACTTGGAGGATCTGGACTTCGCCGATGATATATGTCTGATTTCCCACAAACTGGAAGATATGCAGGCGAAAAGCAACAAGTTAGCAGAAGAAGCATCAAAGATAGGACTTCAGGTGAACATAGATAAAACAGAGGTGATGAAAATTCCTGGGCAACACTAACAACAACAACTAACAACAATCAGCATAAATGGGAGGAACCTGAAAGAAACAACCTCCTTTACCTACCTAGGAAGCATCGTTTCAACGACAGGCGGACAAAACTGATGAGGATATCAAAGCAAGAATCGGAAAAGCATGACAAGATTTCACTACTCTCAAGTCTGTGTGGAGGTCAACAACACTCAGCATCAAAACGATGATAAGATCCGGATTTTCAACTCCAATGTGAAGTCAGTGCTACTATACGGATCAGAGACTTGGCGCGTCATAAAGACCATCTCAAACAAACTACAGACCTTCATTAACAGTTGTCTTCGCTCAATACTCAACATCAGATGGCCAGAAAAGATCAGCAGTAGGGAGGGATCTCTGGGAGCGAACCAACCAGGAACCAATTGTGAAACAAATAGGCAGGAAGAAGTGGAGATGGATTGGCCATACTCTGAGGAAACCATCAAGTGACATCACTAGACAAGCCATTGCTCGAGTGGAACCCGAAAGGGAAGCGGCGAGTTGGTCGTCAGTATGAGGGTGACTTGGAGGAGGTCATGTGAAGAGGAGATGAAAACGTGTGGGCAGACTTGGAGCCAGGTGAAGACTCTATCAGAGAACCGAACGCAATGGAGACGCACAGCTGAAGCCGTATGTTCCTCTAGGAATTAAAGGAAACAATAATGATAATAATAATAATAATTAGGTCATCTTTTATTTACACAGTTTCTCCTGAAAATAGGACAAATTTTGGTTAAGGCCTTGAAAAATGTTTCTTATGATGCCTAATCGGCCACACATACACAAGCACATAACCGGAGTCAATCAATCGTTTGTATAGGAGACGAGGAAAAGAAAATGAGATGACCACTGTTTACCACGATAATACCCTCCTTATCATAATTAATCGATTAGACGTTAGAACCGCCCCTGATTCTTAACGTTTTTTTGTTAAGTAAACTTGATGATGATGAAAATACGTCGCGTAGGTGGAGGGAGAGGGAAGCGTGTATTAGTAGCTTTCCTTCTTGTAAACTGTTATCATCCAGCGGGACAGCACACGAACGAATACCTGCTGGAATCCAGTCAGATAATGGCTTTTCTCGCTATAGTACTTAAGAGTGGTAACAAGTTCACAAGAAGTATAAATGTTATTCCGAAGTTGGTAAAGTGAATAAATAACCACACGTGGGTTCTGCGTGTGTATCTAAGATACATAAATCACATCTTCAGTCCAGGAGCACAAAGTTTTAACCGACAAGACTTGTTATCTGATGACGTGTACGGTCTGAACGTTGGATTCTAGGAGGCAAGCCTAGGAATGCGGTCTTAATAAATACGAAGTAATTTTATCGATGCCTAGAGTTTCGTGAAGATGCAGGAACTTCATGAGATAAAGTACTATTAGTGGGAGGAGGAAAGGAGTGAGACGAAAGGGATAGATGGTGATGGTTAGGAGAGATTAGCTTACTGATGGAAGCTTTTACGTAGTGGTCGTTCATAGTTTCTCTCTGCTTACATTCAAGAAGCTGACTTCTGCATGGAACAGAAAAAAATACTCCCTTCAAATGACCATATAGCCGAAGTGACAACTACTCACAACTGTAAACACAGTCCGTTTGGAAGTAACAAGCATTTCAGGGATTCATTTGTGCCGAAAGTTTAGAAGCAGCTTTAGACTACCTACCTACGTCTTAGCGTGAGTTGGAATATGCGAATTTTTAAGCCAAAATTTTCTAATCTCTTCTTCTCAGTGCAAGGAGGGGATATAGTTAACTTACTACTTGCTGGAGAGAAACATTTTTCCTCGTTAGACGTATCCAGTTCCCTTAAAACCCAAAATACTATAAGCGGAATTCCCTGTGATAGATGTAGTAGCTGCTTTCGGACTTGCTGATACCTTAATTGACTTTCCTGGAGTAGCGCACACAACCTGGAGAGACATTCATTTCAGTCGGCATAGCTCATTCATAAAACACGTGAACCTGACTACCACGGTAGAGTAGCAGATATCGATCGCGGACATTAAATTAAGACCAAGTGAATAATTAAGGCGTCTGTTTGAGTTTATTTACCAACAGAGACTGGTTATTTCAGTCTAATAAAAGAAAAATGAAAGATCAGAGAAATCAATAAATAAAGTGTACTCTAAAGTTCAATTAAAGTGCACTCCTTTTGTTCATTTATAGCAAAGAACCAATGACTGCAGACAATTGGTAATATGGTTCAAAGCTGTCCTCGATTGGCGTAGATGTATTCACCCTCGGTCATTTCACATGTCTATTAAACTCTTATGTTTTTCCTTGTTACTATTCTTCCTTCCTGCACATTGCTGGTCATTCTAGTTCTTTTGAATTTTCTTTATGTGGAGTGTGGTACCTCGAAATGGTGCACTTCTGTGCAAAGTTTTGTGTTGAAATTAACCAGTCAGTCTATAATGCCTACTGTCAAGAAATACTGTGTATAAGAGTGCAAGACAAAAAATCTGTTTCAACTTGAGCTCATCACCTAATATGTACACACCCGATCGATAGCTACTACCTTGATGCGGTAGTCGGTCTTGCTCCTGCAGATCCTACCATGCCAGGAAGGTTGTTAGGATAGCGATTCGACTAAAAGCAGTTACGAGCATAGTGTAAGATTTCCTTGTTTTTTACACTGTTCTGGGGATCTGTGGGCGAAGTCGTACTGCTGGGGAACAGGGATGTAACAGCAGTAAGGTGTTTCCCTCAGATGACCAGCATGCCAGCTATTCTGTCTCTCCACTCTGGAGAGAGGGGGTTAGAAAATGTCGACTCCAACAATTGTACATCTCGACTTACCCTACCGTGATCCGTAACCCGTAGCAAGTTACTAATACAGAACCAGTTCATACAGGCCGTGTGTGACTGGCCTCAAGCAGTTGTCCTCTGGGCTCTGCGGTCACACTAACTCTCTTTCTGTTTCAGGTACCCCAAGAATAAATCAACTTCCACGGTATGGGTGACCGGGAAGTAATAACCGCCCATACACTTCGAAAAGTACACGAAGCCCTCCTGAACATAATCCTCCCTTATTCGTATCATCCTCATCATCTTGTTTTCCTCCTACTGTTAATACTATTCTGCAGGCTAGTGAGTCATCTTCACTTCACTCTATGACCACAAACAACGGTGAGAGCCATAGAAACACCCCATATAGCCTTTTAAAGCCACGTCCCCAACTTCATATAGGAGCATTTAACGTCAGGACCCTCTGCCGAATCGGACAACAGGCATCACTAGCAAGAACTCTGGCGTCTCGAGCCATAGATGTAAGTTGTGTTTCGGAGACACGCTTACAAGGCCCGAGTGTGGTCATTCACTTAACTCCAGCTGGTGGCCAACAAGATGAATCTGCGGAATTGACCTTAAGGGTGTCAAGAGATTCTTCAGCTATTTCGTGAGGACTCGCAGGTGTAGGGATAGCATGGAGCGTTAGGATAGACAAATCAATTCTTGACCAGATCCCAGTAGATATTCGTATTTGAGCGGTTCCTCTGAACAGGTCCGTTAGAAGAAGAAAGGACGGTGTTACCCGTCACTGTCTCCGATTACGTCCCAACCAACTGCATTTCGAACCAATAAAAGGGTGATTTCTACCAAAAAAGCCCTGTTTGCTGCAAAAAGCAAAATGCTCAGATATAGTTGTTTTAGGAGGCGACTTCAATGCCCAAGCACGGAAGTTATGCAAGATTGAGAAGTATATTGGTGATGCCTACGGAGTTCCCTGCCACCGAGCCGACAACGGTATCGTCTTCTACAATTCTGTCCGGATAATCATCTGTTTCAAGTCAGCACTAAATTTTGACACAAAGAGTGGCGACCTCCGTCACCAAATCAACGTTGAACTGAAATAGACCACATGGCTGTAGGTTATCGTTGGCGAGGGTCAGTAGAAAACTGACACTCCTGGAACACGTGCGTAGACTCCGATCACGTCCCGGTTCGCGCACGTTTATGCTGGCTTAGGATTAAACGGATATGAAAATGTTAGCAGCGAAGCAATTATCCCACTAACTTGATGAGGACACTGAGTCTTTACTCAAGGAGGAAATAGAGAAATGAGTATCTGAGATCGACAGCAAGACTCCTTCTAAGGAATCCTGGCACAATATACAGTTAGTTGTAGACATAGATGTAAAGGCTGTTCATGATCTGAAACCAAAAGTTGGTAAGAGCCAGTGGACTTCTATTACCTCATCCGGACTGATTAAGGCACGAAAACTGATTCCAGAGAGCTCCGAATATAGTGAGGAGCGAAAGCTGCTCAAACGCAAACTAACAAGAACCCTTCGCAGTGACCGTGAACAATGGTGGACGACAAAAACGAAAGAGATGGAAAAGGCATCGGTGATTGGTAACAGCAGACAACTACTTAGGCTTATCAGGGAAACAGGTAGTAAAAGGTAAACGATAAGTGAAACAATCTCGGAAAAAAATGGCACCATAATTTGTTCTCAGGATAGACGACTGGAACGTTAGAAAGAACACTTTGAGGAGCAGTTTAATTGACCTACAGTACACAGGACCTCCGTCCCTAACTGAGGTTACAAAAGCTGTCACTCTTCTAAAACGAGACAAAGTAACGGGACCTGATGGAATGACTCCAGAGGTGTTCGAGGACCGTGGAGACAGTTTATTGTCTGCGTTAACTAAGGGATCAGGCAACATCTTGGAATCAGAGATAATCCCGGAATACAAAAAGAGAAACAAACCTTCCTGTGATAATCACACGGGGATTAGCTTGACCAATATGGTATTTAAAGTCCTAGGCTCAATAATCAAGCGGCGCTCGGAGGAACAAACACGAGAGAACCACGCAGGCTTTAGACCAGGAAGAGGGTTAATCGATCATATCTTCACTCTTCAACAGATTCTGGAACATAGGCATACTTAGCGGCGTCCGTCCAATAATCCTAATATTTCTTGATCTGAAATCGGCATTCGATTGTATGGACCGAGAGGTACTATGGCGATGTTTGGCTGCGAGGGGAATGCTGAGAAAATACATTGCACTGACCGAGACACTCTACTCAAACTCATGAGGCAGCTAGGTGAGAGCCTATGGAGAATTGTCATCTGGAGTGGTGATAACTAGTGGTGTCCATCAGGGATACCCACTATCCCCATTTCTATTCAATTTCATCATAGATGTACTAATGGACTTAACCCTAATTGACTTCAGCGACTCAGGGATTGACTTGTTATCAGAGGATAATCAGATTGACTTAGAATATGCAGATGATGTAGTCCTCCCTCCTAGGTGAAGACAGTGACAAAATGCGGATTCTTCGAAACACTTTGAGCAACAATTTTCGAATATATGGCATGCGATTCGCACACTCTTGTCAAATGAAAGATGATGCTACAGAACTGGACTGAACTAAATCGACTGACTTCTAGCTTCAAGATAGACAGGAGTGAAGTGGTTTGTGGAGCGTGTTGACCACTTCACTTATTTGGATATTTGCATCAGCCAGCCCCTGGGGGTTGATCGCTTACGAAATCTCAGCACGGATACAAAACGTTCGTTTGGCTAAACATTGTATAGATGTATTTCGGCCTTAATTATTATGTAACTTTACAGAAGCCTACTACTGGTCTGTCTGTCTCTGTTTGGGTTCAACATAGAACTTCGCACCGAAATGCAGCAGTTCGAGTTGCCACGTTCCAAATACCACACAAAGGTACACAGGAAAATGAGTGAAGAGAATCAATAGAGTTTTGACAAGCATAAGAGTGAAACGGAATGAGTAATGGTAAAAAGGGATATGAAAGATTACAGAGACTGAATACATCTGCGTAAGCCATTGACAACGATTTTGAGTCATGTCACCTATTGTCTCCAGCCATTGATTCTTAGAGTCCCGAGGGTGGGCCCCAACCCGGAAGTCTGCATCTCCCTCCCCACCTGACTCAGTTTAACTGTCAGGGATTTCATGGATTGATGAGGCCATGTTTTTGTTTGGCCACCACTTACTCTTTTCTAACCTGCACCTATATCAGCTAGTAATGCCCGTCCGTCGGGGTAGGCGATGATTAGGCATTCGCAGCACGTGGCCTAACCATCTCAATCTATGTAACTTTATAGCCTCGTCAATCACTTCGGTAATCACCTCTTAGACATTATCAGTACAAATGTCAATAATACAAGTAAGCAAAATTGTACACACTTAATCCCATATATTTTGTTTGTTTAACTGATTGTACGCTAACTAAGCGCCAATTTTAAATCTTGGTACACTGAATCACAATTATAACACTTGAACAATACAATAGTATTAATAATAATAAATCAATTTCTTTTATTCAAACTTACTCATGTGATAGAATACTTGAATTTGATTGATCTGTACTTTCTTCTAAACTGTCATTTAAATCATGTATACATCCTCTTTTTTGTCGATAAGATAACCAACGTTCATTATTATTTAAATCGATATTTGATTTACTAGCAGTATTATTCACACTTGCTGTGGATCGCCTTACTGGTGTTCCACACGGAAATACATCATCATTGTCATCATCATCTTGATTAAAAAGTGGAGTAGATGTAGGCGACAGTGAATAATTGATTTCATCAATGGCATTGCAATTATTTGATCCATTATAATTTTGATTAGTGGGATTCAAAGCATCCGCGTTACAATTGTTCAATGTTGAAGAGTATTTATTTTTCAATAATTGATGGTTAGATAAATAGTCTTCTAAAGCAAATAAGCCCTTCTCAGTGTTTAAATCAATAAAATCATCTAAAAACTCCCAATATTCATACCATTGGGTTCCGAATAGACGGGACAGATATCTAAAAATAAATATAAAAAATAAATAATAGTAAGTATATGGAGATTGTTACATAAGAGATAGCGTTTTAGATAGAAACTTTTCTGTCTCTTCATTAGTATTATTTTGTCTTCTCAATTGTAACATTTTACATTCTCAACTTTCTTGTTCTCTACCCCCACCCGATTCAATCTCTACACCCCACTACCACTGTTACTGACTTGAACAACGCTCAGTTTCTAGTCATTCATGTTACGTCATCCAACTTATTCACTCAATTTCACTTCTACTTAATCTCTACCTGTTGCTATCCTGACCTAAGTTGTAACATTTTAGCCAATTATATTACGTCATCTAGTTTTTTAACTCAGTCTTACTTTAGTTGCTGTCTGATTAACTTTGTCATTCTTGTATTAACTAATCAATTATCTAAACTTGACAAACCTCATGTACACACACACACACACAAATATTTATATATAAATGCGATTGTACAGCTATGTGAATGAATTCGCCGAAAAGAGTCTCTTCGCTGAATGTCTTCTCTTTTTCATAAGAAACTTTAATGGCTAAAAGTTATAATCAGATGGTTTGAAGTTTAGTCGATTGCAGTAGTCTACTTAAATTACCATCTAAGCGTAAGTCATTAATTTCGCCTAATTTCTAATTACTTCAACCATCCATTTTTTGTTCTAGGATCCATACGAATTAGCGTTCCTTATGATACTGGATAGTTGGAGGCAGTTGGCAGGAAGCCCTGCTGGGACCTAGGTTTCGTGCTAGTTGGCACTCAACAGTCAGCACGGCGTATCTCCAACCTTGAAGGAACTCACGTCCCTTCTGAGATTCGAACCCGCGTCACCCAGTGCTGGTCGGGCTGATACGCGATTGACCTCTTGTAGGACTGTAGTGGGTATTTTCATTGGACACTAGTAACTAGTGTGACGTGTCTAGTCCTTTCTTTGGTGCAGACTGAATTCTATCAGTCAGGTATTTGCAATGTGGCCACCACTCTAGGTAGCTCGCCATCACGGTGCACATTGATTTGATGATATGATAGCGAGCTACCTAGAATGGTGGCCCCATTGTAAACCTGACTGATAGAATTCAGTCTGCACCAAAGAAAGTACTAGACACGTCACATTAGTTACTGGTGTCCAATGAAAATACCGTTCCTTATACTATGAGCAAACATGTTGTCTGGAAGAAAGGTGCTTTCATTATTACAGCTTTGGGCTAATAGTTGAACACACAGGGCTTCAGCAGTACCTCTTCATTTCATTCGGTTCTCTGAAATTTCTTTTAACTGGCTTCACGATTACCCAAAAGCTTTCGTTTCGTCCACACACACACGATCTCCTCCATATTACCGCCGGGCTACGGGACTGGACTATATTGACTCCTAGCTTAGAAATAGGTGATGAATTGGTGGAGTGTGTTGACCATTTCACTTATTTGGGAAGTTGCATCAGCCAGCCCAATGGGTTGATGGCTGACGAAATCTCAGCACGGATACAGAAGGCTAGTTTCGCATATGCCAGTTTACACCGTCTCTGGCGTAGACGTGATATCCGGCTGTCTGTCGACCAAAGGACTTGTGTACTGTGCAGAACTCCTCTCTGTCCATCTCTATGGTTTCACCACCACTAGCTTTCTCTTTTCCAACCTGATCGTATGTCAGCTAACATTGATTATCGAGGGAAGCGATGACTAGGCATGCGTAACACAGAGCTTCCAGTGACATCCCACGCCATACTGCCCCTCCAAATGGAACCCAAATAAGAAATGGCGAGTTAAACATGAGTTTACGTGTGACATGGAAGAGACGGTAGACTGCGGACAATCATACAGCCAGTTAAAGAAGGAGTGCGCGGAACAGGGTGAAATGGAGATGTGGTGTTGAAACCCCATGCAAAATATAAACAGTAAACAGAGATATGAGACAAAGAGAATAGTAATATGGAAGAGCAATAGAGTTTTATTGGGTATTATAAGTCACAAGGAGTAGATGCATCTGCGCCAGCCACTGACAACGAGAAATTTGAGCCATGTCACCACCAATTGTCTCCAGCCTTCATTCCCGACCGAAAGCTGCTACCTTGACGTGGTGGTCGGGCTTGAACACCGCAATGACCCAACAAGCTATACTGGCTGGAACTTATGTTCCTGCAGGTCTTACCATGCCAGAAAGGTTGTTTGGATAGCAGTTAGACAAAAAAAGCAGTTACCCAATCCAATCCTATGACTTCAAACAAATCACAAAATATCATGCCGGATCGGTCGGGGCCCGGATTAACAACGACCGCGCTTTCTGCTGCCGTGTCACAGGGCAGAAGTGATAAATACGCTACTGAGACACACCAAATAAAAAAGAACAAACAAAAACAGGCCGTGTGTGACCGGCCTCAAGCAGTTGTCCCCTGGGCTCTGCGGTCACGCAACCAACTTCCACGGTGTGGGCAGCCGGGAAGTAACAATCGCCCTCACAACCCGAAGAGCACGCGAAACCTCTCTATTCCTCACTCACCTTTGTCTTCATCTTCATCTCTATTATCTTACCTTCCTTCTACTAATGCAACTCCTCTACTTAATGGCTCTTCACTTCCTCTTCACTCTGTGTGCACTGATAACGATGGAAGCCAAAAAGCCACCATCGATAGTCTCCTAAAGCCTTCATTGGTTTTTAACGTCCCGAGGACCCCAACTAACCAGGACGTCTACACCTTCCTACGTGGCTGGCTTAAACTAACTGTTGTGGATTTGATTGACTGATGAAGCCATATTTTGGTTTGACAACCACTGGCTTTCTCTTTTCCAACCTGACCCGTCAAGGAAGGCGATGACTGGGTATGCGTAATACCTGTAAGTAAATTAATCCACAATTTTATGCCCTTCTCTTTAACTATTTCTGGTTTATCGTATTTTGTATGGTTCTTTTCAGTTGCGTACAATTTGTAACATTTAGCAGAAAAAGTTTCGATACAATCTTAACATACTTTTGTTTATTAAACAGGAATCAGTCCTCCATCAAAGAATATTGTAATATTGTTGTAGTAAAATAAAATATAAAGGTGATAAACCGTTTTAAAGTATTACAATGTACATGTCTTATAAGAGCTGTTTGTCGTACAAACAAACAAAATGCGAATTTGATGAGTCATTTGGGAATGCGTAACCAGATACAGTAAAAATACAGTGAGCAGAACTCGGAAGATCAGAAAAACATCAAAATAACCAGGTGTAAAAAAATTCGATGTCTAAGATGTCTGGTGAGAGGTTGCTAGTATTATATTACAGTGAGTAGAACTCGAAGTATCAAATATTAATCACTTAAATGTTGCCGTGCAGTACTTCGCTGAAATGTAGTTAAAAATTCTGAAGTAGTAAGAATAATCAGATTCTTATCTGTGAATATCCTCCTTCGTTCTTTCTCTAGAGTTAATGGAAAAATTTCACTTCATATGACAGTTACTATTTTCTAAAATGTGAATTTTGAATGTTGAAGCTATGAATACTCACATATAGCTAGATAGATTTTAGGTGATTCTGCTATAGGATATATTTTTGTGGTTTGAACGTACCCGTATCCCGTCTCCAGAGTGATATTAATACAGCATGTCTTTCGTTTTAAGGTATTAGATTTTAAAGCCTGTGATTACTTTATGGTTTCATCATTTCTCTCTCCTCCGATTTTGAACAACTTTTGCTTGATTTAAGAATACAAGGTTTAGTAACTTCAACAGTTAAGAAGTACCAGGAAATGTAGCAGTGATAATGTCTGTCTTTCTCTCTACTTTACTACGATACTTTGTTACAATGACTCCACTCCAGTGCGTCGGTGGCACGGCTGTTGGGAATCTCGCCGACCATGCACATGATCCAGGGTTCGATCCCCTGCTGACGCACACCTGATATCAATGGTTGGCCTGCAAAATTTGGGCTACCGATATCACATGCTGAAAATTCCATACTTGTACCGAAAATACGGTGTGGAGTCAAGCTATAATCAAAATAAAATAAAATCTCAGTCGATGCAGCTGATTCACACCCTCGTCTATTGATTTCCCCTCCTCCTCACCTAGCACTCGACCGGCGCCTAACCTCAATATTACTCACCCTATTATACCAATTCACTAGGGAGATAGAAGGCAGACACCTAGGATCAAAAACAGCTAATCTTTTCATATCCTCCACTCTCAATGGCCAGGTGTCTTGCAGTCATAAAGGAGAACGGAGCGGACTTCTGAGCAGTACATACGCCCTTTGGCCGACAGCCAGCTGGATATCACGTCTATGCCAGAGATGGCGTAAGATGGCGGGCATATGCCAAACGAGCCTTCTGTATCCGTGCTGAGATTTCGTCAGCGATCAACCGGCTGACAATAATAATAATAATAATAATAATAATAATAATAATAATAATAATAAGGATATCATTATCAACCTGACTAGCAACGGAAACACAAAAGCAAACCAAAACATATTATACTGAAGTATCCAATAGGTAGAAGTCATTAGGTAAAATCAAATATATATACACATATACACATATATATAGGCACACTTACCTTCCTTGACGTTCATATCCTCTTTCAGCATCAATTAAGCGTATACGTGAAAAAACCTTACAGTCAGTAGCATTGGGCATGTTATATTGAATCCATTTTTTTCGTAATTCAACAGCCTATTTTTATTTTTTTTAGTAGAAAAATGGAAATATGGCAGAGAGAAGATAAAAAGAGATATAAAACAACCACAACATGCTATCAAATTGTCTATAGAAAGGATATTTATAGAATAAATAGATTTTTAATTGCATGGAGGATTTCATCATGAGCTGAAATCAGTTAGAGAACCACTGGAAAACAACCTGGCAGTACTGGACAGCTGTTTCCTCCGTCCTAGTTTGGGACTCTTCAGCAGTACGCGCCCACCGGGACTCGAACCCAAGACCTTCTGGTTACAAGGCGAGCTCGTAGACCATTGAGCCACTGGGACCCGATCCAATGGCCAGCCCATGAATTCTAACTTCTGCCAATTCACGACCATTTCGCAATGTCTTCTTCGATGAGTTACTGCCTCATCTTCAACCTGCTGTACCCTAGATTTTATCCAGTTGGCCAGGAGTGACGGATACACCTACCTCCTCCTGTTGGAGAATTTCACACTCTCTAACTGGCCTTTATCTACTAACATACACCGTTAAATATTATAGTTAAAAAGCATATTTACTCAACAATTAATTGTCGAATTTTCAGATCGAATTAGCAATGAGTCAAACACCTGTTGTGTTACTGAGGGCATACATAAACTACTACGACATGGCTTTGTCAACGAGATGACACCAGTTGGAGAACCCTTGGAAAAAACTAGGCAGTACTGGACAACTGTTTCGTCTTTTTGGGGACTCATCTTCAGTACGCACCCACCGGTGTTCGCACCTCTTACCTGCCGGCAAGCTCGTAGACCATTCCGCCACCTAAACCCCAAGTTGGAATTCATAAATTTATTTTATTTTATTATAGCTTGACTCCACACAGTATTTTTGATACAAGTATGAAATTTTCAGCATGTGATATCGGTAGCCCAAATTTTGCAGGCCGACCATTGATATCAAGTGTGCGCCGGCAGGGGATTGAACCCCAGACCATGTGCATGGTCAGCGAGAGTCCTAACCACTCTGTCATTAGATTGGCTTCCAGTGGCTGAAACGTCAACGGTCTCTCCTTGTAACCGAAAGTCTTCGGGTCCTAACTCCCGAGGGTGAGTACTACTGAAAAGGTCCCAAACTGGAACGGAACAGCTGTCCAGTACTCTCTGGTTTTCAACTGGTTCTCTAACAGATGTCAACTTGTGATCAAACATGTATTCATTCAAATCCCTATAAACCAACACATCAGCGACCGCCGGAATTCCAGACAGCGAGACAAACGAATGATGCCACCAGGACCAAGAAGATTGAATCAACTTCAGTCGCAAGTCTTTGACGAGGGGACGAGTGTGAGAGAGCTGTCTGCTAGCCAAAATTGGTAGGTAGCAATTTACGTCAATGTTTACATCCCAAATCGGGGTCATGAGAGAAAACAATAACAGAGCTTAACCTTGAGGAACTCAACAACCCATCACAGCAGACTTAGCGTGGGCGGATATGATTAGGAGATATATATCAACGGACTGTCTAGCGAACGGCAACAAAGAGATGACAGAATAACCTTCAGTAGGAAAACAACCAATCAGAAGACGTTACCTCTCTGCTAACAATAGCGCTAATAATAATGTACATAAAAATATATAAATATCTGTTGATATTCTCAATAAACGATCTGTTGTCTGGCCCTTGTCTTCTGTCGTTATATTCTGAATATAGAGAGCATTTTAAACACCGGGAATGCATTTTTTGTTTGAAGTCAGTTGCATGTGACAGCTGTTCCATGTGGCAGCCAGCGTATGCGCCACATTTATTGTCTGTGTGGGAGCTGATGTGATACTGTTATCCAGTTGCCCAGACTAAAGTAGGTGACTCGAGATTCCAACTTAGGACCTATTAACTGAAAGTCGAGTGTTGAAGCCAATGAACCACATCTTCACCTTTAAGCAAACAGATCCCCGGTTCAAATTACGACAATCAATCTACTTCAGCCCTGGAAGTAGACTACGACGACTAGATAGTGTCACTAACCTTTGCTTGGCGTTTCGAGTGAAACATACAGCCAGACATATCACCAATTGCCTCCAGCCTTCAATGGCTCTTACCAACCCGATGACGCCAACAGGTCAGACAGTCTACTTCTCCCTTTCTTGTGCTGGTTTATACTAAATGCTGTGGATTTCATGGACTGATGAAGCCATGTTGTCGTCTGACTACGAACTAGCTCTTTTACAACCTGATCCTGTGTCACCTAACATTGTCCGTCATCGAGGAAGGCGATGACTAGGCATGCATGCATAACACATGTTCCTAACCATCTCAATCGATGCACCTGCTTCACAACCTCCTTCGATTGATTTTTCCTCCTTACCTAAATAGAACTCCACGCCTAACCTCAATATTACTCACACTATTATACCTCCTAACATGGGAGACAGAACACAGACAGTTGTTATCAAAGACAACTAGCCAAGCTTTTCATGTCTTTCACTTTAAATGTGCATTTCTCACTCACAGCCAGCCACATAGGAGGACGGAGCGAACTGCTGCTGCTGTGCAGTTCATCGATAGCCAGCTGGACATCACGTCTATTAAGTCAGAGATGCCGTAGGTTGACCGGCAAACGCCACACGGACCTTCTATTTCCGTGCTTAACATTCCCTACTTACCAGGCTTACTACCAACTAAGTGGGGTTTAGGAGGGGAACGACCAGGAATCGGACCTGAACCACGAGAATTCTACCAATGGAACCACCAACATCACTTTATAGCCTAATATATGAAAAATATCTGTTCCAGGTAACACTTAGTTACAACTAAACTTAATACGGGTGATGAATTAGCCACATATTATTGTACTTTTCTTCTTGGTATTTGAAACACATATAATTAAGTGTATGAACTGTATTCGGGATACCCAGCCTATCAAATATTCTGACAATGATGATGTTCTCGTGACTTTATGTTGACAAATCTGTCAAGGATAATGGCATGACATGGGAATTAATCGTTGCGCGGAAGGTGTGATGAAAAGTGTTGCATACTATATTAATGTTTGCATGCAACACAGCCCTTTTGTGGTTAAATGCTCTACAGCTGCCATACAGGAGGCCCAGGTTTAATTCACAAAACAAAACGATTCACCCCAACCAAGCCTAGCCGATAGTACACTCGGAAAACAGGAGAGGTTAGATAACGAAGCTAACAACTCCATCTCCGGGAAAAAACACCACCGCTAGTGAAACTAAAAACCCCTAGCTTCACGTCCTACATTCTATTCGGGAGGCAAAACTGTGAAAGTGAAGTACATCAATGTACTGACAACACACAACAACTAAAAAATCAGTCAAACACGCCACCTAATTGTGAATAGTTTCGCATATGCCAGTTAACGCCATCTCTGGCTTAGTTGACGTGATATTCGGCTGGCTGTCGACCGAAAAGCGTGTGTACTGCTTAGAAGTCCGCTCCGTCCTCCTTTATGGTTACAAGACCTGGCCATTGAGGGTGGAAGACATTAAAAACCCGCCTAGTTGGTTTTGATCATAGGTATCTGCGTTCTATCTCCTTCCTGTGTGAGGTAGTATAATAGGTTGAGCAATATTGAGGTTAGGCATCGGTCGAGTGCTAGGTGAGGAGGATGGGAAATCCATCGACGAGACTGTGAAGCTACATCGACTGAGATGGTTAGGACATGTGTTACGAATCCATCACTAGCCATTGCTTCCCTCGGCAACAAACAATGTTAGCTGACATAGGATCAGGCTGGAAAAGAGCTATCGGCGGTCAAACGAAAACATGACTTCATCAGTCAATCAAATCCATAACAGTTAGTTTAAACCAGCCAGCCACGTAGGGAGGTGTAGACGTCCTGGTTAGTTGGGGTCCTCGGGACGGTGATATGGCTCAAAGTGATCGTTCTAAATGAGTGGCGCAGATGCATCCACTCCTTGTAACTCATAATACCCAATAAAACTATATTGTTCTTTCTTATCGCTATTCCTTTTGTCTCATATCTGTGTCTACTGTTTTAATTATGCATTTCTTCTACTTTCTTCGCTTGCTTTGTGTGCTACATGGAGTGAGTGTGGCGACTTGAACTGCTGCACATCAATGGAAAATTCTATGTTGAAAACAGACAAACAGACAGACCTAATTGTGACATTCGTAACTAGTATACAAGCACACTTTCACAAACGCTACACTACACACACACACACCATCAAAACAGAGTCTAGAAACACTGTCTATTATTACCTAATCAAATGTGTCCAAAAATTAGAATTTATATCGATTCAACCTGTAGAGAAAAGCTCATCTGAACTAAAATAAATAAGAACGCTATCGTATGCATGACTACTTTTTTTCCACACACACACACACCCACACACTTCACAATACGCACAAATTTATCAAAAATTAGACTACAGCATTATTCACACGAATAATGCGTAAACTGAAGTGATTTCAATTCAATTCTTTATATGAACACAAAGAACATTGAAATACACACAAAACAAACTATAAACATAGATATTATTTTGTTCAAGTATAACTAGCAGCAGTGGAATTCAGTAGGAGCATTTCGTCATTTCTGGGACTCGCCAAGCAGATTGTACTTGCAGTTCCTCCCCCCTAGTGAGTGATGTTGTCCAATTGAGACTCCAACCCTGAACCCATCGATTCAAATGCCATAGAGTGTTATCCAACAGAATATGAGAGCCGCCTTTTGTGTAAAGGGAGATAAGTGATTAGTTACAGGATCAATTAAGAGGTAACATCAGTTAGAGAGCTATTGGAACTGGACAGTTGTTTCGTCCCACTCTGGGACTCTTTATCAGTACATGCCCACCGGGGTCAGATCTTCTGGTTACGAGGTGACCTGTTAGACCGTCAAGCCACTGGGGCCTCCACACCCAATGGTCCATGAATTCCAACTTCTGTCAATTCGGGACATACATTAAGTTATTATTTTTGTTTAAATAAATTTTCGGCAAAGTTCAACAATAGCGTCTCAGGAGTACTTACTTTACTTT